TTGAACTTGAATAGGAAGTCATATACTGGCAATCTAAGTGTGACCTTGAAATTGACCTTTGACCTACTTTTCATCATGAATTGAAGTGTACAAATTTTGGTTCCCTTTTATCTCCAAAACTGGCAGAGATAGGTCCATAGTTACTATTGAACTTGAATAGGAAGTCATATACTGGCAATCTAAATGTGACCTTGAAATTGACCTTTGACCTACTTTATACCATAAACTGAACTTTGCAACTTTTTAAAGCTTTTATTTTCAAAACTGGCAGAGATACTGCCATAGTTACTATTGAATTTGAATAGAAAGTCATACGAGGCAATTTACTGTGACCTTAAAATTGACCTCTGACCTACTTTTAACCATGAACTGAACTTTGCAAATTTTGGTTCCCTTTGATCTTCAAAACTGGCAGAGATAAGTCCATAGTTACTATTGAACTTGAATATGAAGTCATTAGAAGCAGTTTACTGTGACCTTAAAATTGACCTTTGACCTACTTTTTACCATGAACTTAACTTTGCACGTTTTGGTTCCCTTTTATCTCCAAAACTGGCAGAGATATGTCCATAGTTGCTATTGAACTTGACTAGGAAGTCATATACTGAAAATTTACTGTGACCTTGAAATTGCCCTTTGACCTACCTTACTATGAACTGAACTTTGATTGTACCATTTTTAGTTATATATTTTTTTGCATATTTTGAGAATTCTTGTTGATTGCATTTTTTACAGCTTGTCAAGCACAAGACTGTTGGTGATGTCCCTTTTTTGTGTGTGGGGGGGGTATATACGATCGTGCTTACTCCAGCTGGTGGTACAATATTCGGAGGCGGTATCGCCTCTCTGATCCTCTAGTTTAACTAGCATTTAATTACGGTTATCCCAACTAGTATATAATAATGCAGTCAAATGACTCGAGAGAATTTTGATCATTCAATATTAGGTTCATGCTATTTGTGAAAAAGTTTTGCATAAAGACACAGTACTTGAGTTTCAAATTATAAATCTTTAATATCCTTTAATATTTCAGTTGAAACGCCCTTTAGAAACAAATAAATTCTGAAAACAAAAAACACTTTATTTCGTATAACGAATTGAGATTACAAACCATTTTATTATATATATGTAACTGCAAGAAAATTAAGAAAGCTGGCAAGGCCTGGGCTAGTCACCCTTGTGAAAATTTAAAGTGCCTAGGTGTTCACTCCTCATGTGTAAAAACAATATAGGGAATATTTCAAAATACTTACTGATCATATCAGGTTCAAGAGCTTCTAAAAACTCGAGGCTGGTAAGGAGGTAGAAAGCATCTGTGGGGTAATCCTGTTTAAGGCAGGCTCTGTCAACTGCTTTTGCCCATGTAACAATTCCTGCTCTCTTGTTCCTCTCCAAGTTGTCCTTGTCTGGCATTGTTATATCCTTCAAAGACATTTCATCGAGTAGTTTGCCAATAACATGGAATTCTTCCAAGTCATGAAATGCTTTTAAAATATTCCGGGGAATAAGAGAAATCATTTTATGAACATCTCCAGACTTCATACGCTCTAGTAATGGTCTTGCTAAAAATGGTTGACTTGGTTTAGATGAAAAAGAAATAATGATTGAGGTAATGTGCATCAATTCCTTGACTGGTAGCATATAACATCTACTCTGCAAGTGCCTGGTTAATAATGACACCAGCTCATTATCCCTGATGCCATAAAATGGATGTGCCAACGTTGCAATACATTCTAAAATCATTCTTAATTCACGTGGATGCCCATTTAAGTCATTCCAACAATGCAGAAAACACATTATGAACTCTTTCTGACTTGCATTTTTGACTGACCCAAGAATTCTACGACCACTTTTTAGCACGTCTGCTACCTCTATCAGGCTGAAGACACTCCCCTGACGTAAACTTTTAAAGAGTTCCTCTTGCAAGATCCACCAGTCAGAATCCTTAAACAAACCAGTGCTTACTGCACAAAGCAAACCCCCAAAATCTGGACCCGGCAACTGACTGCTACCTTTCTCCATATTTACATCAACATCAACTTTGGGTATCAAATCAGTCTGGTATTTTGAGTTACTTAAAGGTTCACTGCCATGGAACCCAGATATGGATTGTACACAGCTGTTGAGAACACTACGGCGCAAACTAACTGCACGATGGTTTAAATTACTAATAACCATAAGACCTTGCTGTGTGATATGGTGTCCAAGAACAGAGACAACATCTTCTTTGTTGGCTTGCAGAGTGGAAAAGACAATCTCCTGCAGGGGAAAGTATTCATCTGTTTTAATACTTCTATTTGGACTGTAAAGGCCAAATTTTCTTGGGGCAGACATAAACAATATAACATGCTTGATGATCTCAGCAGCATCTTGGTTGAGAATACGGAGATCATGCTTCTCCACCTCAGAATTGACGCGACTGGCAACATCCCTAAACATGTTGTCGCTCATAAAATGACTCAATTTTTCAGCTATTTGTAAAACTGATACCAGATCATGGTGTTCAAAATCCTTTTCATTTTCCCTAAGTACATCTTTGAAGCGTTCCACTACCTGAAAAAGAAATAATTACGAGTAACTGTAAAATTCACACACTCATCAGCCTCAACTTTAACATGTTTTCATAAGGCTACATTTTATTAAATTTATCAAAACAGCAGGTGTTTGTACAACAGAAATGGTTAAATTGTTCCCTTTTTATTGGTCAGAGAAAGTTTTCCTTAAAGTCTGTGTCTGTGCATAAAAACGGCATGCCTTTTTAGTGTTGATTTCTATATCACAAACTTTGAATGCTTAAACGCTGAACAAAAACTCCTAAAGAAATTTTTTTCATTTCAGGAAGGAGAAATTCATACTGGGGACTTGGTTTTTCAGTATTTTTCTTTTTTTTTTTTAATTCAACATAGCCACACACACACATGCTTTAAAGCTTGTAATGGCAGTGGTTGGTAGTGCAATGCATTTTTGATGTTTTATAGCTTCACATTTGTCAGAGCTGCATTAAGCCTGGTTTATTTTCTGAAATTAACCTGAGGAAATCATAGACTGGGTTCTCATACCTAGATAAATCTAACAGGATCTTTCTATCTCCAAGGGTTTTTCTTTCTTCTTAATTGCCATCAGCTTAAGCAGCTTAGATGTCTGGCACGCCTACTGGAGCTGCTAAACAATAGTTAATTATCTCCAGCAGCTTCAGTAGGTGTGACGGACACCTAAGCTGCTTAAGTTGATTGCAATTTAGCAAGAATCCCATTGGAGATAGATCGATCCACAGTAAGTACAAGGGACTGGGAATTGTCCCACAGACATGTACTCTTTTCATCTACCGCCATGCTGATATTGTAAATTGATTGGAAAATAAACACCATGTCAACTTCCAGTTATTTCATAAGTTTACCATACATTTTTTAATTTCAAGTTCTTAAAACTTATTTTAATGTCCTTTGCAGACATTTCAGGATTAAAACAATTATTAGTATTGTACTGACATAAATTACTTTTTGTTTAAATATAATTATTAAAAAGTACTACAAAAACCATAAGTACTCACACACCTCAGATATAACATCCCCTCTCCAAGCAGTTTTCTCTGTGATAAACAACTGTTGGCAGACTGCTGATAGTGGCACCAGAGCTGGCAGGTCAGCAGTGCCACAGCGCTGGACACAGGTCAGCAACAGGTCCCATGTCACCACCGGATGAATAAAGTGGACACCCAACTGCATCAAGTTAAGCACTAGAGTGGACAATGACTTTAATTCCATTGCGTCTTTTTCCTCATCAGCTTTGTCTAATATCATGTTCAATTCTGTCTCCACCTTTTTTAAATGAGGAGAAAGACACCTGTTGATGTCGCTTTGAAGGTACAATTCTCTATAACATATCGCTGGGTCAGATTTATCAAGCCAGTTGATATTGAGGCTTTCATATACTTCCTGTTTTATTTTCTGCATAAGTTCCACAACCTCTTTCCCACCTGCATTACCCATATCTGTGTGGTAGTTGACAACCCCCTGCTGTCTACTACAAAAGAAGAGGTTTTTACCAAGATCTCCAGCACAAGGAATTGTCTTCTTCAAGCTACACATGTTGTATGTGCAGTATGCTGTTGAACACCTTGCTGTGTTATGCTTCCTGGGATATAGCCTGCCACTGAAACTGGATATCTTGTGAAATCCTGTGGCCTTTCTTGTTACCTGAACACCCCTCCCTGTGCCACTGCTCTCCAAAATGTGACCAGGTCCAAAGGCACGTAGGCTCTTGTTAAAAGACCACATTGGCATCACTATAATAATAATAATAATAATAATAATAATAATAATAATAATAATTTCTTAAAAGGTGAACACCCAAAAACTCAATTTGCCTTTATAATAATACTTTATCCTTTGAAACCCTTAAAGACAACTTGGACAATGGTGACTTTTTAAAAAAATTTTTTAGATTTAAAGATTTTTAAAAATAACTCGACAGCAAAGGAAATCAAACACATACAAAACACACACACAAAAAATATTGCAACAATAATTACAAAGAATTTTCACGACAGTTCATTTAACACTGGCAACATTCTGTAGGAGTAAACCACCAGCAAACTTTTTTTTGAGTTATGTACCAAAATTATAACTCATATAATGAGAAGAAAAGCTAATCTACCTCAACTTTCAGACATGAAAAAATATGACTTAATTACTAACTAATACCAAAAGTTTCCCTGCTCATTTAGGGACCAATGGTCCATTCAGGATGAGAAGAGGTGAATGCTAGCTAGGCCACGACCTATGGCGGACCTACATGAAAAGAAGACTGCTTAATCTTGTAATGGTCTGTCCCCCTCTCACGCGGCTCCCCACTCTTTACATTCAATATTTACCTTTAGAACAGCATACTGATAACCCTCTTGATGCAAGCATAATGGTCTTGAAAAGTTCTCTGCAGAACTTTGTCTCGATCAGCACCTATCAAATAATCTGTACAAGACCCAAAAAACTATCTGAAATAAAGCAAGACATTTTATTTTTAAAAGCTGACAAATAATCCTTAGCTTCTGAAATAACTTCTGAGTTACGTGAATTTTCTTGCATCTGTATCCTTTGCTCCCCCACATCGTTATTTTATCACATCAATACATCCCCACCATTACTATCCACCTCCTGCCATCTTTTCTCCCCTTTAGTTAAAATAGATACCTCTGACCAATTAAAATGTGATATTAAAACATAATAAATCTTAAATAAATCTGAAAACTTGAAAAGCGAATATTTTTTTTTCAAATCATCATCTGAAAATTGATGTGGAGGAGTAACGATGTGGAGGCTATCAATGGGAGTCATATCATACTTTTGCTAGCCTAAACGAAGAAACAATGTGAAGCTTGTGAGATAAGTAAAGATATGACCCATACCTGATAATTTACAGTTACTGTTGTTTAAAGGTGTGCTTAAGCAGTTACAGCTGTTGAACAGTTTGTGTTCAAGTTAACCCAGCATGTTAACGTGTTAAAATTAAAAGATAAATGAAAGGGGATGTAACAGTATGTTGTTAAATGAACTATTTTTTATTGCACTGTGTGTATACAATACTATGTACTGGTGTACCTAACACTCGCCAATTTAGCCAAAAGCTAAAACTGACTTAAATTGGCTAATCAAAAAGGGCTTGATTCGACTTGTTTTAGTCAAATTATAACCATTTGGATAACAAATTTAGAAAAAAAAAATAGTGATTTGGCTAAGAGAGAAAAATTGCTAGTGTACTAGTACTGTTATCCCAGTGTACTAGTACTATATGTCAAGTCGCTTCACTATGTGCATGAATATGAGTAATTAAGTAGTGACCAGTGCATTGCTTCAGATCTTTTGTCATGACTCCTCCCCCTATTTATTCAGCAACAATGCGCGGGAGGTTCTGTGTTGAAGAGTAATGGTATAATGGTAATTTTACAGGGGATGTACGGGCATCGATGCAGGGATCTATCTGTGTGAAGTCGTATCTATGCACATAATGTAAAAATTTTCTAGGGGGGAGTGTCAGTATCGGTGTGGGGGGCTATTATCACGACCTCTTATGGAAGTCACAGTATTCTGTTCAAAACTTGGAAGGTATACAGTTTGTAACGTGACAGAAAGTCCCTCATAACAGATGGTCCGCTTCCCGTTGGGTGTGACTGAAATGCACAATACACTGCAATACAGCACAACACAGCGCAATACACTTGATAACACAAGTCCAGTTGCAAGTAAACACAGGAAAGGGTAATCTCAAATAAAATAGGGTGATATGAAAGCAAAATATAGTACATAGTAATTAATATTGCTGATACAACTTGACAATTTTTTCATTGTTTGGTCAGCCGCCATGTTGGCGAGTAGCTCTTCTTGGCCAGTAATATATCCAAGAAGAGCCAATCGCCAACATGGCTGCCAACCGGACAATATAAAAGTTTTGCTGATTTGTTAAGTTATATCAACGATATTACTTACCTAGTAATATAGGTTGTTTTTATATCACCCTACTTTGCTGGGAATGGTCATTTCTTTTGTGTAATAGCAACTAGATTTGATTTTTGAAGTGTATTGCACTGTGTTGCGCTGTATTGCGGTGTATTGCGCAATTCAGTCACAAAGTCTATAGAACTATATAGTTATATAACTACAACGACTCCGAAGGAGGGCAGACTTTCCGTTACACGGGCCCTCAGTTTCAGTCGATCGCTTTGCCGTGTTGTGAGAAAATGTTATATTTCTGGTACAGTCTGTGGTAAGCTGTTCAATACGAGGTTGCATCCTTTCAATCAAATTGAATAGGCTCCTTACACTCACCGTATATTCATGGTGCATCCACTCGTCTTTTTGATTGTGACCAACCCATGCTCCCACTCTTGCAACGATCACCTTGAAACGATTGTCGTAAAATTCCTACGTGATTTAAAAAACGGGTGCATTATCATATGTAGCTTGATAATACCATATACCCTATGGTTTATATCAATCAAGTTCTTCTCCTCGTATTATGGTCACCACAGGATCACCTTTCGGTCATCCAAAATAATTACCGTTTTATAAGTGATCACATGGTACCCACAATTCATCACGGCAGACAGGAACCACGAGTTTTGTGTAGAAGTCCTACCCTAAGGTAGGTCCTCTAAGTTAAGGGCCAGCGTACTTACTCTGATCATAGAAGTTCTGTGATTTGATTGCAAGAATGGAACTGTCGTATTGAACAGCTTACCATCATTATGACTGCACAACAGATGATTAGAAATATCCTAAACGAACGACTTCAAATAGAATTGAAACGGTTCAATAAGGCAATATAATTAATAAAATTGCTCGTAGAGGGCAAAAAAAAAAAAAAAAAAAAAAAAAAAAAAAAAAAAAAATCTTGCAAAAGTTGTAAATTTTTTCAAATTTCAATTTGCTTTTAATTTTTATTCATTTTTGAATCTAGTAATATTTAGATTTAATTACAAATTAAACGAGAAAATGCAAGTTGTACTGGCAGCATATTTATTCTATCTAAATCTAACTTTGTTTTACACTGCATTATAATTGCATAAATGATTGCCATATTTTTTAGTCTATTTCATAAGTAGATATCTGATAATAATGTAACTATCTTTTCATATAAATAAATAAAACAACGTTGACATATGCTTAAATATGCAACCAAAAAAAAAAAAAAAAAATAGAAACAAAATAAAGCAAAAAAAAATAAAAATAAAAAGTCACATGCCACACCAGGGCTCGAAACCAAGCCCTCCCGCTTACAGAACGACCACCAAAAACTAATCATCTCTTCCTTGGCCCACTTCTGACAGTTCTTGAAAATTTCATCAAAATTAGTACATAACTTTTTGAGTTATGTTGATGACAGACAAACAGGGGTGAAAACGACCTCCTTGGCGGAGGTAATTAGAGGTATCTACTTTCTGTTAACCATGGGAGGGTAAAGATGGCAGGAGGTGGATAGTAATTGGTGCGGGAGGAGTCGTAGCAATAGTCCGAAGGTTCAATAGTCTGAAAGTACTTTGGTCCAAATGTTCACTATAAAATCTTTGGACCAACGAACCTTTGACGAACTGATGAAAATATTACGATTTTTTGGACCAATGAACCTTTGGACAATCAAGACGCTCCCGTGTGGGAATGTAATGATGTGGGAAAGTAACGATGTGGGGGAGCAAAGGATACATGGATGCAAGAAACTTCATGTAAGTTACTTAGAAGTTATTTCAGAAGTTAAGGATTATTTGACACCTTAATTTAAGTATATTTTTCTTTATTTCAGATAGTTTCTCGGGTCTTCTACAAATTATTTGATAAGTGTTGATCTAGACAAAGTTCTGCAGAGAACTTTTCAAGACCATTATGCTTGCATCAAGAGGGTTATCAGCCTGCTGTTCTAAAGGTAAATATTGAATGTAACAAAAAGTAATGCTGAGAGGAAGCAAGAACATAAGAGCTGGTTGTGCCAAGTTCCAAAAGTCACAGTTATAATCTTTATTAAATTTTCAGTAGAAAATATAACACATTGACATGTGTAAATATAATCCCTTCACATGTCACATTTCCATGTTAGAAGTGAGAAATACTGGAAGGCCAGGAATTTTTAATTTTTTTTTAAATTTTAAACCTCTTCTGTCATTTGTCTTACCTAGTTGCCATTGATTCTGTTTCTTTGAATTTATTTATGTCGGTATATATATGTTAATATGTAGGCACTGTATACATGTGTCCTTATATCCTGATCATTATCATTATTATGTCGATGTTACAACCTGTTGTCCACCCTAACTAAGGGACCATTCAGAATGAGAAGAAACGAGTGCTAGCTAGGCCACGACCTAAATATGGTGGACCTACGTGAAAAGAAGACTGCTAAATCCTGTAATGGTCTCTCCGCCTCTCACATAGCTCCCCATGCATCGTCCCTCAACCGGTTGAATTGAGCCGAGATTTAATTACTGTGCCCCTGCAGGAACGATACGTGGAGAGGCGTGTGAGAGACGGAGAGACCATTACAGGATTAAGTGGGCTACCTTTCACGTAGGTCCACCATATTTAGGTCATGGCCTAGCTAGCATTCAGCTCTTCTCATTCTGAATGGTCCCTAAATCAGCAGGGAAACTTTTAGTATTAGTAATTAAGTCATTTTTTTTCATGTCTGAAAGTTGAGGTAGATTAGCTTTTCTTCTCATAATATGAGTTATAATTTTGGTATATAACTCAAAAGAAGTTTGCAGTTTTGTTTTTGTGTTTTATGAACTATCATGAAAATTGTTTGTAATTATTGTTGTAATATTTTTTGTGTGTATGAGTTTTGTATGTGTTAATTTGCTTTGCTGTCGAGTTATTTTTTTAAAAATCTATAAATCTAAAAAATTAAAAAAGGTTTTCACCATTGCCCAAGTTGTCTTTAGTCAGTTTTTTCAAAGGATAAAGTATTATTATAAAGGCAAATTGAGATTTTGGGAGTTCAGCTTTTAAGAAATTATTATTATTATTATTATAGTGATGCCAATGGGGTCTTTTAGCAAGAGCCTACGTGCCTTTGGACCTGGTCACATTTTGAAGAGCAGTGGCACAGGGAGGGGTGTTCAGATAACAAGAAAGGCCACAGGATTTCACAAGATATCCAGTTTCAGTGGCAGGCTATATCCCAGGAAGCTTAACACAGCAAGGTGTTCAACAGCATACTGCACATACAACATGTGTAGCTTGAAGAAGACAATTCCTTGTGCTGGAGATCTTGGTAAAAACCTCTTCTTTTGTAGTAGACAGCAGGGGGTTGTCAACTACCACACAGATATGGGTAATGCAGGTGGGAAAGAGGTTGTGGAACTTATGCAGAAAATAAAACAGGAAGTATATGAAAGCCTCAGTATCAACTGGCTTGATAAATCTGACCCAGCAATATGTTATAGAGAATTGTACCTTCAAAGCGACATCAACAGGTGTCTTTCTCCTCATTTAAAAAAGGTCGAGACAGAACTGAACATGATATTAGACAAAGCTCATGAGGTAAAAGACTTGATGGAATTGAAGTCATTGTCCACTCTGGTGCTTAACTTGATACAGTTGGGTGTCCACTTTATTCATCCGGTGGTGACGTGGGACCTGTTGCTGACCTGTGTCCAGCGCTGTGGCACTGCTGACCTGCCAGCTCTGGTGCCACTATCAGCAGTCTGCCAACAGTTGTTTATCACAGAGAAAGCTGCTTGGAGAGGGGATGTTATATCTGAGGTGTGTGAGTACTTATGGTTTTTGTAGTTCTTTTTAATAATTATATTTAAACAAAAAGTAATTTATGTCAGTAAAATAATAATAATTGTTTTAATCCTGAAATGTCTGCAAAGGACATTAAAATGAGTTTTTAATAACTGCTTTAATCTTGAAGTTAAAAAATGTATGGTAAACTTATGAAATTACTGGAAGTTGACATGGTGTTTATTTTCCAATCAATCTACAATATCAGCATGGCGGTAGATGAAAAGAGGACGTCTATAGGGCAGTTCCCAGTCCCTTGTACTTACTGTGGATCGATCTTTCTCCAAGGGGATTCTCGCTTGATTGCAATCAATTTAAGCAGCTTAGATGTCTGTCACACCTATTGAAGCTGCTGGAGATAATTAACTATTGTTTAGCAGCTCCAGTAGGCGTGCCAGACATCTAAGCTGCTTAAGCTGATGGCAATTTAGCAAAAAAAAAGAAAAAACCTTGGAGATGGATCGATCCTGTTGGATTTATCTAGGTGTGAGAACCCAGTCTATGATTTCCTCAGGTTAATATCAGAAAATAAACCAGGCTTAATGCAGCTGCTGCTCTGACAAATGTGAAGATATAAAACATCAAAAATACATTGCATTACCAACCACTGCCATTACAAGCTTTACAGCATTTTTTTTTTTTTTTTTTTTTT